ACCCGGTTTGAACCGGTTTGATCCGGTCTGATCCGGTCTGATCCGGTGTGATCCAGTTCCAGCCGGTTTGATCCGGTCTGATCCGGTTCCATCCGGTTTGATCCGGTTCCATCCGGTTTGATCCGGTCTGATCCGGTCCGAACTGGTTTGAGTCAGTTCTATCCGGTTTGAACCAGTTCCATCCGGTTTGAACCGGTTTTATCTGGTTTGAACCGGCTCCATCCGGTTTGATCCGGTCTGATCCAGTCCAAACCGTTTTGAGCCAGTTCTAACCGGTTTGCTCCGATATGAACCAGTTCCATCCGGTTTGATCGGGTTCCATCCGGTTTGATCGGGTTCCATCCGGTTTGATCCGGTCTGATCCGGTTTGTTCCGGTTCAATCCTGTTTGATCCGGTCTGATCTGGTTTGAGCCAGTTCTATCCGGTTTGAACCGGTTTGATCCGGTTTGATCCGGTTGCATCTGGTTCGATCCGGTCCGATGCGGTCCGAACCGATTTGATCCGGTTTGAACCGGTTCCATCCGGTTTGATCCGGTCTGGTCCGGTCCAAACAGGTTTGAGCCAGTTCTAACCGGTTTGATCCGGTTTGAACCTGTTCCATCCGGTTTGAACCGGATTGATCCGATTTGATCCGGTCTGATCCGGTTTGATCCGGTCTGATCCGGTTCCATCCGGTTTGAGCCGGTCTGATATGGTTCGATCCGGTCTGATCCGGTCCGAACCGGTTCCATCCGGTTTGTTCCGGTCTGGTCCGGTTCAAACCGGTTTGAGCCAGTTCTAACCGGTTTGATCCGCTTTGAACCAGTTCCATCCGGTTTGAACCGGTTTGATCCGGTTCCATCTGGTTTGATCCGGTCTGATCCGGTCCGAACCGGTTTGAACCGGTTCCATCCGGTTCGATCCGGTCTGATCCGGTTTGAACCGGTTCCATCCGGTTCGATCCGGTCTGATCCGGTTTGAACCGGTTTGAACCGGTTTGTTCCGCTTTGTTCCGGTTCCATCTGGTTTGATACGGTCTGATCCGGTCGGAACCGGTTTGATCCGGTTTGAACCGGTTTGATCCGGTCTGATCCGGTCCAAACCGGTTTGAGCCAGTTCTAACAGGTTTGATCCGGTTCCATCTGGTTGGATTCGGTTTGAACCGGTTTGAACCGGTTTGATCCGGTTTGATCCGGTTCCATCTGGTTCGATCCGGTCTGATCCGGTCCGGACCGGTTTGATCCGGTTTTAACCGGTTCCATCCGGTTTTATCCGGTCTGATCCGGTCCCAACCGGTTTGAGCCACTTTTAACCGGTTTGATCCGGTTTGAACCAGTTCCATCCGGTTTGAATCGAATTGATCCGGTTTGATCCGGTCTGATCTGGTCTGATCCGGTTCCATCCGGTTTGATCCGGTCTGCTCCGGTTTGAACCGGTTCCATCCGGTTTGATCCGGTTCCATCCGGTTTGATGCGGTCTGATCCGGTTTGAACCAGTTCTATCCTGTTTGAACCGGTTTGATCCGGTTTGATCCGGTTCCATGCGGTTTGATCCGGTCTGGTCCGGTCCAAACCGGTTTGAGCCAGTTCTAACCGGTTTGATCCGCTTTGAACCATTTCCATCCGGCTTGATCCGGTTTGATCCGATTTGAGCCGGTTTGATCCGGTTCTATCCGGTTTGATCCGGTCTGATCCGGTCCAAACCGGTTTAAGCCAGTTCTAACCAGTTTGATCCGGTTCGAACCAGTTCCATCCGGTTTGAACCGGTTTGAACCGGTTTGATCCGGTTTGAACCAGTTGCATCCGGTTTGATCCGGTCTGATCCGGTCCAAACCGGTTTGAGCCAGCTCTAACCAGTTTGATCCGGTTTGATCCAGTTCCAGCTGGTTTGATCCGGTCTGATGCGGTTCCATCCGGTTTGATCCAGTTCCGTCCGGTTTGATCAGGTTCCATCCGGTTTGAGCCGGTCTGATCCGGTTCGAACAGGTTTGATCCGGTTTGTGCCGTTTCCATCCGGTTTGATCCAGTTTCATCCGGGTTTATCCGGTCTAATCCGGTCCGAACCGTTTTGATCCGGTTTGTACCAGTTACATCCGGTTTGATCCGGTTCCATCCGGTTTGATCCGGTCTGATCCGGTCCGAACTAGTTTGAGCCAGTTCTATCCGGTTTGATCCGGTTCCATCCGGTTTGATCCGGTCTGATCCGGTTCGATCCGGTTTGATCCGGTTCCATCCGGTTTGATCCGGTCTGATCCGGTTCCATCCTGTTTGATCCGGTTCCATTCGGTTTGATCCGGTCTGATCCGGTTTCTTCCGGTTCCATTCGGTTTGATCCGGTCTGATCCGGTTTCTTCCGGTTCAATCCGGTTTGATCCGGTCTGATCCGGTCCGAACCGGTTTGAACCGGTTTGATCCGGTTCCATCTGGTTTGATCCGGTCTGATCCGGTCCAAACCGGTTTGAGCCAGTTCTAACCGGTTTAATCCGGTTTGAACCAGTTCCATCCGGTTTGAACCGGTTTGATCCGTTATGAACTGGTTCCATCCGGTTTGATCGGGTTCCATCCGGTTTGATCCGGTCTGATCCGGTTTGATCCGGTTCCATCCGGTTTGATCCGGTCTGATCCGCTTTGAACCGGTTCCATCCGGTTTGATCCGGTTTCATCCGATTTGATCCGGTCTGATCCGGTTTGAGCCAGTTCTATCCGGTCCGAACCGGTTTGATCCAGTTTGAACCGTTTCCATCCGGTTTGATCCGGTCTGATCCGGTGCAAACCGGTTTGAGCCAGTTCTAACCGGTTTGATCCGGTTTGAACCAGTTCCATCCGTTGAAACCGGTTTGATACGGTATGAACCGGTTCCATCCGGTTTGATCGGGTTGCATCCGGTTTGATCCGGTCTGATCCGGTTTGATCCAGTCTGATCCGGTTTGATCCGGTTCCATCCGATTTGATCCGGTCTGATCCGGTTTGAGCCAGTTCTCTCCGGTTTGATCCGGTTTGATCCGGTTTGATCCAGTTCCATCCGGTTTGAACCGTTTTGATCCGGTCTGATCCGGTTTGACCCGGTTCAATCCGGTTTGATCCGGTCTGATCCGGTTTGAACCGGTTGCATCCGGTTTGATCCGGTTCCATCCGATTTGATCCGGTCTGATCCGGTTTGTGCCAGTTCTATCCGGTTTGAACCGGTTTGATGCGGTTTGATCCGTTCTGATCCGGTTTGATCCGGTTCCATCTGGTTTGATCCGGTTTGATCCGGTTTGATCCGGT